AATATATTTCACTGCATCTTTCTGTCTCCTCGATATATTTCATTTCGATTGTTCAGTCATTAATATTCAATGCAAAAGCGACTCGCACGTTTCTGTGCGGTTTACATTTGGTCCGCAGTGTTTATTGTTTTGATGTCACTTTTTCATTTTATTTTATGTTTGCTTTATTTTGGTATCGCTTGCAATATTTGATTTCCTGCTGCAGAGCAAACCAAAATTTAAAGCTGTGACAATTGGCAATTGGCAATTGTTTGTTGTCGACTGTTTCAACTGTTTATGAGATTTGTAGGCAACACGAGATCATTTCAATTTTTCCAAAATAGTACCCCTGAAACCAAATTCGGGATAGTGTTGTTACATAAACGTGACATTTGCTCACATTGCAGTCGTTTCATTATAATGCCAAGCGGCGGCTGTTTTGCTCTTTCCACATGCAATTGTTGCAGTTTCAGTTATTATTATTATTATTTTTTTTTATCATTATTTTCGAGACTCCCGCTCTATTGTTGTGACCGCTCACGTTCACAGCCCACACGATTTGTCGGGTGGAAAACAATACTGGTACACACAGTACACATGTATGTACACATGTACGTACATATGTACATATGTACACACTTACAGTCAACTGCAGTTAGTCACTGCACTGAGGTCGCTTACCAGCAAATCGTTCAACAGACTATCAACAATGCCACATTCCCGTTGTTAACTGATAAGCAAAGCAGACCCCAGCCGTTTTTCTAAAATGAAGTTGCGCAACAAGTGCGCTGCAAAGCAAAGCTTTAAACACGCAAATTCTAAGCGTTGCCCTTTAAAAGCTCACAGCCAACGCCATCTACCCAAAATCCTGACAACTAAGCGAAACATTAATTTGGACTGTTCGCAAAGTTCGCGATAAGCTTTTTCGAGAATGAATAAAACACGAAAAAAAAGAAAACGAATATTCATAATAAATTGCAACGTAATGAGAAAAATTGTAACCTGAGCCGTTCATCGCGCAAAAAATTTACAACATTTGTATAAATTTGTATGCAATGTGGCATTTCACGTAATTTTTTACTTTCGTATGATTCTGCGTCGTTGCATTTTTTGCGTTACGTATGCAGTTAAAAAAGCAGTTAGTCAAAGCGAATCAGCCTGAAACAAAGAGAGAACAAGAGAAAAGAAATCGAATGCGAACACCTTCGGAATGATGCACACGCAATTGGGAGGCAATTGGGAGGGGTTGCAATGGACGCAGTATTTACGAGTTAACCCGTAAGCGGGGCCTTCATTATTTCACTCTGACAGCAGCGACAACAATGTCGTGGCAGGTATTCAACGTCAATGTCAAAAAAAAAACGAAAAAAGAAACGTAATAAATCAAATGATGCATATGAATTTCCACTGAGCTGTTGTACTTAACGCGAGTCCATTTTTTTTTAATTTTATACAAGTTTAACGAAAAAATAGTATATATATATATATATATACACACCTTGACAGGAAAATAGGTGTGAATTTTCCAAATAAATATTACGCAAAAAATTAAATATATTAGTTTATATAGCAACATAGTTTCTTAATGAAACTCAGAAGGCTCTGGCTTTAGATAGCTATTTGCACAGAAATGGACCAACATTCTCTGGAATGATGAAAATCAGATAAATTTGTTTGCAAATGCAAACAATTCCATATTAAATTAACTAAAAAGTTGTCAGTCAGTTTTCCCCATCCTCAAATGTACTATACTAACTAAAGGAACGTTACTGGATATAAAATATCTCGCTCTTCATGACTCAAAAAGATTACTTTTAGCCAATGACACCATATTATTATAGGTTGCTGATGAAGTTTTTTGCAATCCTCAGCTAATAATTTCCTCCAGCTTAGAACTTACGCACAAGTCTTCTATCCTCAGCCCTGCTATGATATCTTTCGATCATATAACATTATTATAATACGTTAAGCCTTCATTAAACAATCAAAATCATTGGAGAAACTAATGTTTTGCTAAGTTTATTCAGCTATTTCACTGTCAATATGGACTTGTAACCAAGAAAAGTGGCAAACAATTTGACTGTTCTCAATTTTACGCCAGAGACTTCAAATTTTCATTAAGCAACAATGACGCCATACTTCCAAATTAATATGATACTTATATGGTGATATTTAAAATTTATTTATGTTTTTTTTTTAGTCTCAAGTTGTTGTCTTCACACCTATTTTACTGTCCAGGTGTGTATATATGACTTTAGTGGACAGCTCGTCAAATGCAATGCAGTAAAATTTCCGTAAATATCATTATGATGATCAAGATTGTTCAAAATGGAAATTGCCGGCAATAAGAGGCATGCATGACTCTTTGCGTGACACACAAAATTGAGAAATTATTAGTGAACTTCGTAATATTGGCATTAACAACAATTTTCAGTTAGTGCTTGTCGCAAACTAACTGTGAATAAATTATACAAGTTACTCAAATTGAATTCAATTCACATTCAGCTGAGAGACGCATGCAACATTCATCTAGATTTGTAGAGACTAATTCTTCTTAATCTGTAATATAATTCGTCATATTTTGGCTACGTGCATCTCATATATCAAATTTTTGTACATATATTATGCTTATTTAGTTTGTGGGGCGTATTACAAATAATGCAAACAAAGCAAAACAGCCCAAAACAATAATAAAAAAAAAAAAAACTAAAATCAAACCGAAATCAAATTGTAAATGTGAAATTGAAATGCGCTCAACAAAACAACACGGTTTCATATTCGTGTGAAGCGCGGAGTCGATTGTAGCAGTTGATGTTGTTGTTTTTGTTGTTATTGTTGTTGTTGTTGTCGCAGTTGTTGTTTTTTGTTGGCGTTGTTGTTATTGTGGTTTGGCATTAGAGACTGAAATGTTTTCCGTTTGCTGGCATGGATTGCTTATGAGCTCGGCCACTTTTTTTTTGTGGCCATAAGCAAAGGCCAAAGGCATACAAAAATATTCTGAAAACGTGCTGATTAATGATCGGGACACAAGAACAAAAACAACAACAAATGGCATAGGTCAGTTACACTAATTGAAATAGAATGTTGCTGGTCAGTTTTTTTCTCTTCTTTAGTTCTCGTTTACCGTTTATCGTTTATGCATCATGTGGGTGTTTTTTCGAACTCATAAACGATTCGTAATTATTTGTGTCCGTGCGTGCGAGTGTGTGTTGTGAGTGAGTGTGTGAGTGTTGTGAATGGCCACTTGGTTGCCAAGAGCTCTGTTCAAATTGTTCAATAGTAAGTGGCCATCGTTTAGAAAGCAACAGCAACAATTTATTTATATGTATAAGTAGCTGCAGCTCCTTTCACTTTAGAATGCGAGCGCGACGAGTGAAAGTGCACCTGGCTAAAATCAAACGACCGATGGGGGACCAAGGGAATAATAGCTCAGCGAATAGCAACTGCAATTAGCGAAGATTTAGCAAAGAAACAAAAAAGATCTCATAAATCTATTTATGGCTACTTTGTGCTTAACATCGAGTCTATCTAGTCTGTGTGTTGATTGCCAGAAATGCTTTGTTGAGCACGATGCGCATTTAAAAATAATATGTGCTGAAAATGACATCAACAAGTGTCAAAAACGCAGCCACATAAAATGCAGCATTGAAAGCTTTCGAGGATGCACTTGGCGCTGGCTGGGCAAAGCTTTGAGTCAGCTTTTCTACGCCCTGCGGCTTAATGACGAAAGTCAAAGTGCAGCTGACAGCGGAGCAGCAGCATGTGGAAATCACGTGTTTGTTTGCTGCTGAGAGAGCAACAAAGTGAGAGAGCGCAAGAGCGCAGAGAATAAGAGAGCAGGCAAGCAAGGATTTGCTGTGCGCAGACGCTGCTTATGTCAAAACATGCAAAGCTCTTTGTTATTGTTGTTGTCAGCGTAATTTTTTTATTTTTTTGGTGTGGGTTTGTTGTCAATTGTTGGCCTGATTAGACAAGAAATGTGAACTGTGAGGGACCATTCTGATTGACATGATGTAGTAGCAACCCAGTAGCGAAAAGACCCCCTTACAAATGTGTACTTTGTATAGGGTTGTAGTTTCCAATCTATACCACAAGCCCATATTGCTTCTCCACTCCACATCATGCATTACTTTTTAATGCATGATGTATGCGTTGCCGAAAGCTTTTTTATGCGCCTTACAGGCTCGCATACGTTGTGTAAGAGATCGTAAGTGGAATATTGTACGATTCTATATCCCCAGATAGTCTATTATACATACATTTAATATTCAAAATATAGAAAGCTTTGAAAATATAACAATTGTATACATAAATAACATGATGATGACTTAGAAGCTCCAGCATACAACTCTGCAGGCAGGAGTACATCACTAAGCAATTAATTACATGTTTTGCATACAGAATGCGTTCCGTAATTAGAGATCATCCACTAGTTCGCTGCTGGGAAGTGCAGCACTTGAGAGCACTAAGTCGCCACTCGAGCAAAATGTCGGCAACAAGCAGAACCAACCAGAGCACCAAACACCAAAGGCAATGAATATGGGTCTCCCAGCGAAAGTATCTGATGCGTGAAAAACAAGCGTCGCGTCGTCTGGGGACGAACTAATAAGGCGCCACAAAAACAAGCGAAGCACATAGAAACGATAAAAAAAAGAAAGGCGTGCCAAGGTTGGACGTCTGCTGGCCAGGATATTTTTTTGGGGGATTGGTTCAAGGTAGGAGGTCATTTTGTCAGTAACTTGTGCAATCAGCTGTTGCTAATGAAAAGCGTCGACAAAGAGCAGACCTGGGGCTGGGGCAGGTGAGAGACACTCAGACAAACGTCAGCTATCAACTCGTATTGATTTTCTGGGTTTCCTGTGGTGTCAGTACTAGCGTGCGTGGGTTGGTGCTTCGGTTTTGGCTACTAATTTCCGGGAGTTAACAGGGGGTAGTTCGACGAAACCAAAAAAACTAAAGCAACAACAACAACAACAACAATAAAATAAGTAGTTAATTAGCTAATTGGTGATCGGACTTACCTGTCGATTACTCGATACTGTTGCACCTTTTATTATAACGTTAATCTTGTTATTTGTTTTCTTTTATTTGCTGTTTCGCTTTATTGCATATGCTATCTATACACAATATACTCTTTTCTCTTGTTTTTGTTGTATTATACTTATTATTATTGCAACAATCTCTTATTGTTGTGCAGCTGTGTGTGTGTGTGTGTGTATTTCCGCTTTAAACTAAATGCAATTAAAAATACATACAATATTCATTTATTTATGCACTCGCGATTCACATTTACATTTACATACAATTATAGCTTTTACAAATCCGCGCACTTAAATCAAATGAAGACATTTTCGCTATTTTGCGATTTGCTAAACGACGACAATGAAAAGTCTGTCGACTTTTGCACACGCGAAAACAAAACACAAATAAGTTATTTTCACACACACACAAACACATCTATAATTTATATATAGTAGGTATTCGAATATTATAGGTATGTATATACAGACATATTATATTTAAGTGACCGGTGCTAGGGTCAGCCAGATAAGGCTGTGGAGAGCGAGACGCGACGAGACAGAGGAGAGAAAGACCTAACTGCGTTATCAGCATAGAGGGTATATAGGTAGAGATAGAGATAGAAATAGAGATGGAGATAGAGATAGAGATGGGAATACAGATCTGTACACAAATTGAACAAGTACGCAATCAACACACCTACAGCAATGCTTGTAATACATGAGTGTACATATGTACATATCGATGCATATATACATATATGTACATGTTTGTAGATATATACATAGATTCATTCATGCTTGTCACGCTGTTTAATATCAATTGATAAGATACATTTGATAAGAGACAATCAGACGAAGCCGAAAAACCGAAATACCGGCAGAAAAACTTGTTCAGATGCACATTTATATGTATATTTGATAGATTTTTGTTAGATTTCAAGATCCATAACTGATAAGCTGTATGACTGACAAACTGACTGACTGACGAGAGAGATACATTGATTTTTGGGCTATAAACAATTTCACTGCGCCAATTCAATTTCACTTTGCGCAAGTACACACGATAAATTGTTGTTTTGACAACCAAAAGCCATGAACTTGAGAGATTTGGTTTCTCTCTCTGAATATGAATATGAATTGATTATTATTATTATACTTGTAGCTATGTAGTAGAATTATACACACACACACAGGTAGGTAGAATTATTTTGCATTCGCAGCTAGGCAACTTAATTGAGACAGTTAAATGTGTAAAATATTTTTTGAAATTTTATGTACTATATTGAATATTATGCACTGCACAGAATTATAAATATTATAGGATTGTTTGTTATTTTAGTACATTCTCTGTGGCCACAAGCAAATATAATAACCAACTATATAATGTATTATTTGTGTGATGTCAAGAGACAGAGAAACTGAGAGAGAGAGCGAGCGCGTGGGAGATTTAAGTTGGCAGAGAGTGAGAGAGAGAGAAAGAGAGCGCGCGCGAACGTAAACCGAACACTAAACGAATAAGAAGAAGACGAAGAAAGGTAAGGCAATCAAGACCAGACCAGACCAGAGCAGACCCGACCCAATCAGAAAAAAAAAACCCACCAGCAAACGAACCGTGCGCGTCTACGTCTCGGACATGACAGCGGCAGCAAGCTCCGATAACAACTGACTGCGGCACAGCAGCAGACCAGTGAGTTTTGTTTGTTGGCTTTGCTTTGCTGTGCTGTGCTGTGCTGTGCTTTGCTGTGCTTTGCCTAGTAAGTAATGCCTCCGCATGTCTTTGTAGTTGTAGTTTGTTGTTGCTTGGCTGTGTTGGGGCCGCCGCCGCTCAATCAATTGACAAAAGTTTTGCAGGGGCTTAGCTTTTCATTTACAGCGCTCTCACGTGCGCACGCTCTCTCTAGAACGCATTTGCGCTCTCTCGCTCTCTACTTCGCTCTCACGCTGACGGAATCAGCTGTTTGGCCTGCAACAAAATGTAAACAGACTGTGAAAAAGCTTTTTGGTTGCTCTCACATTTAATTGAAAATAATTGTAATCAACATCAACAAAAACAAAGCCAAGGTAGACGGAAACGAGTTTCCAGTGGAGGCGGAGAAACGGAGAAGCGACCCTGCTGCCAGTGCCAAAGGCGGCGCTAAATTGCTATCCCATGCTTGGTATTTCTGCCCCCAATCCAAAAACCCCATCACAGTCTATTTTGGCTGTCACATTCACAAAAGTCGTCACTTGGCAGCAAATTGTAATTTGCTTTTCGCCAGACCGACCAAAGACCCCAAAATTTGTGTCACACACACCAACCTAAAATGGCAACCGAAATAGACGTCAAAGAATTTCTCAGCTGGCTGCACACTCACACACACACACACACACACACACACACACATAGAGCAAGAAACCACCGCAGGCGACGTCAACCTCTGTGCGGCGACCTAGACCCACATTTTTGCATTTGACTTGAAGCAATTTGCTGTCTTGTAACCAACACTGCTGATTCTAACGGAAGCCTCAACTAGTTTGTAGTTTATAGTTTGTAGTTACCATGCACAATACAATTTGCGGATCCGCCGGCCAGAGGCGTTATAAATCTTGCGCAACGGCTCATTGGCGTGGGCTGAGGTCTGTGGCCTGTGGTCTGTGCTCTGTTGCCTGCTGTGAACACCTTAAGTTTGTGTGGGGCAAGTCAAACAATGGATTGACTCGGACATAATAATGTATTTGCACAGCCGCTTAATAATGGCCGGGTCGTGAACGTTTGTTCTAATATCCCATTGTTGGTCAGTGTGCTAATGTGATTAGAACTTGACGTCCACAACTTGACCACTTGTTGCTCAACGCTTCAGCGCCGCCAGCCTTGCCACCCTTGCCAAAAAGAAGCCACCGGTCAATGCTCGTAAATTTCTGCGCGGCGTTTCCGCTTTTTATCTGCCTAATACACATATCAACATATCTAGATACATGTTTTCTCTTCTTATTGCTGAGCAATGAAATTAGGCAAACAAACAAACAAACAAACAAAAGATTTGTGCTTTTCGGCAGCTCGAAGACAAAATGCACTCACTTTCATTTCAGTCGGTGGAAATTTCGATATGGGTTTACAGCCAAACAGTCAATGAGTGCTTTGAAATACAAAAAATTAACATTTTAATCCGATTTTAATTAAGTAACTGCTAAGCTAGAGAAAGGATACTAATTGGCAATGGAAACCTATTACCAACTCTAAGCTTTCTCGAATAAAATAATGTTATCAAATATTAAATGTTTTCTCTCTGAAAAAAGTATGTTTACTCCCAAAATGCTAACGGTTGCACACACAAATTTGATCAATTTGGGAGTAAAGAACAAAAATCGACTTTAAAAAAATAATAAATAAAATAGCTGAGATCGTGTTTTTTGCACAAATTTCGGTAAAAATTTAATTACTTATAGACAAATCATAAAAAGAACTGTCGTTTTAATTAACATAACAAATTTCACAAATTTTTTTGAGAAGACCCCAATAAAGAATAACTTTATTTTTACCCTTTAAAGATAGATTTTTATTTGGTAATTTTGTCAGAGACATAGCTAAAATAACCTTCATCAGGGTATGCAAAATGCCATGCAAATAGCAAATAGCAAATAGAGAAGGTCGCTCTTTGTATTTAGCCTTTAATATGTTTTGCAAGTGGAGCAGGCATTGTATTTGCCTCCCATAGAACATAGTCAGCGTGGCGCTCTCAAAATCCAATTAAGAAAAATAAAACAACTGCTAACCACCGAGCAGCAGTGCCCTACTAAACTCGGTATCAGTCAGCGTCACACGATTTGTGTTCTATGCTCCCAATTTGAGTCAGTTGCTATTTTCGATGTCTGCCACATAGCAGAACCAAGCAATTATCTGACAATTATAAATAAGCCTTCACCTATCTCTCATTTACACACACATACACACACAAATATATATATATCCATATGTAGGTGGCTTACACCCAGAGGCGTTTTATCTTGCGTCAGTGGTCCCAATTTGGATCGCTTTGCTCATGCTTAGTACACTCAGAACAAAAATAACATTAAAGATTATCCTGACAAGTAGAAAAAGTTTCCGATTTTTTACAATAATTTACAAATATTCGAAAATACATTAAAAAAAAATACAATTATTAAAGCAATCGATCTTTCAGAATTATATATCTAAAAAATTGAGCATATTTAGCAAATAGTTCTGAAGTTCGAAAGTAGCAATTAAATTGGCTCTTTCGACTGCTGTCTGCCTAAAAGTAATATAAGTAATAGAAAAAGAAAAAATAAAAAAAGGACCCTGAAAATGAACAAATTTGTACACTTTTTAGAAAATTGTACCATGGAAATAGGAAAAGAAAAACACTCGTCTTTAGAAAGACACAATCTTTCTTTTTAGAAGTACACTTTCCGAGTAACAATGTGAGCTGCCCTTGGAACCAATGGTTAACCAATTTCAAATATTCATTTTTTTCGAGTGCAGCTTTACTTTACTTTAGTCGTGTCATGTTAAGTAGGTGTCGTACTACGCACTGCACTTATCTGCCCAGTCAGATCTAATTTATGATTGTGTTGTTTAGCCAGTCAGTCAGAGTCACAGAAAAAAAGGTGAGTAACTGGACTGAAGTTTGCTCCATTCAGGTTATTGGCATCGGAACTAACTGTTTTCACTGCGATTGCACCGTCCAGCTGCAAGTGCCATAAAAAAGAGTGCTTGCTTCACGTAACGTGGCTGAGATCAAAATGGCACTTAGCCGCAAGTGAAAGATATGAGAACCAGTTTACAGTCCAGTCTGCAAATGCGAAACAGATTCGTGCTGATGTTCTGTCGATTGCTTAAGATGCTTAAGTGGAACTCGCATATTTTTACGCAACTGCTGAAATAAGCCAGAGAAATGGAGAAACTGTCCAAATCGACTATGACAGCTGCGCGCATCGATCGCATTGAATGTCAAAGTTGAATCACAGCCCAGCCCAGCAGAAGCAATTGTTTAGGTGCCGCCATCAGTTGCATATACCACATGCACCTTGGTTGTTGCTGTGGCTGTGGCATCATTTAGTTGGCTCATTGTTTCGGCTTTGCTTTCGGCTGCTTGCGGCACAACTTTGCTGCTATTAATACGCTGCAAATGGTGTTGCACCCATATTGATAACACTATGGAAAAGTTAATCAATTTAAGCAGCATTTTCAAACATTTCTCAATATGAATATGAATCGCCATTGGTCGTTAACGTGGTAGTGAGAAAATTAGCGATTGGTTAAAATAAAACTGTTGATCAGCTTGTATTTCTTATTATCATATATATTATCAATTCAATTAAGTTTAATAATGAAATAATTAATAGCAGACAAATTTATAAATTACAAAGAATTTAATGTAAATTTAAATTTCATCGTTATCAAAATGAATTTAAAAATTTATCAGGCGTGCTCCAATTTACGCAAATCCTTTCCGTTTTTACTTGGAACAAAAATCTTCTGTTTCTGTTTTTCTTCCTTTTTCAAAAGAGACCACTTTTTTGCTCTCGCAAATTAGAACATGATTTCAAAATGAAAACGAAATGTTTTTCCATTTTCACAAACTGTATAATTGTATTACCTGTCTTCTATTTATGTCATTTATTTTACCAAAATATCAATAACATCGATTCGAAATTCGTTAATCATCCCAAAAAACACGAAATACTATTTTTACTTGTGACATTAATGACTAAAATAAATATCAATATTAAAATAAAGGTTATAAATTATTTAATAAGTATAACAAAAGATGTTTAAAGTTTTTTTTTAATTCATAATGAAACAGCGGCTAGCTACTATTATTTTATGAGAATACCCTAAGAAATTACTTGGAGGTCTTGCAGCGCATTCAACAGTCGACAATTGCCATAAAATTCAATCTCTTCGTTTTTATTTGAGGTTTGCACGCAAACCGAAAGACAGCCAACTCGCTGCAAGTCATCATGTAACAGCGAAGAAATATGGCGATGAGGCAAGGCCCGGCTGAGTTATGCCAGAGTGTCAGTCAGTCCGTCACTTATAAGTGTCGGCACTCACAGTTGTTTGGCATAGAGAATCAGAAATTGACAATGCCGCTGAATGCAGCGGAAATTAGGCATTTAAAGTGCCAACAGCCAACAGCTAGAAAACCCAGCATCATTTGCATAAGACGTCAGCTTAGAGACGCACACAATTGATACACATATATATACATATATATTATGCCCAAACACGACTCCAGACGTGCACCGAACGCATCGAATGGAGCTTAGCAGAGAAAGATCGTGTGCATCCACCGCCAACCCCTTCCAGCGCCTAACGGTTGTCCATTCGAACGTCTTGTGAAACTGTCCATCAGCTCTTTTTTCAGTTAGCCAAAAAGCATTGGTTGCGGTGAAAGAGAACCCGATATACATGCATATTTTGTAAGCGGGAAAGTGCGCTGTGACAGGCCAGACAGACAATATCTTCCTTGCGAGCGAAAACTGGTCCACCGTGACCCACAAAAAGCCGCATGCGAAGTCGAAGTCTTTAACACTTGCGACGCATGTCGGCGGAAACAACCCATATTTAAAAGACTGTTGTTACCAAACATTTAATATATTTAAATCAGTGAGTCAAACCGGAATACGAGCCGCATCTCTACCCATTGCAATACTGAAACGGAATCGAAATCAAAAGGCTAAACTCAAAATTGTTTTAAAGCACAATTGTCAGAACTGATATTATTTGTCTCGCAAAAACACCGTATCGGAATGGCCATAATGTTTGATCAAGCTGGTGTTAAAGCTGGTGTTCAAGATATGTTTAAGCTGCTGTTCGAGAACTTGTATTCACAATTATGTCTCTGTTATTACAGTGATATCAGAGTATTCCACAGTCAGGAACGTCTCACTTATTTTCCAGAATCTGAATACCAATACGTAACTGTTTTCCGTAAAAAAAAGTTTGGTAAATTACCGGAACGTTTAACGGAATTTTTATATGCACGGCGTACCAGAATCGAAGCCGAAACTCGTTTTGCTTAAACACCCTGTTAGAAAATGTATTCTTTTCAAAATTAATTTCGATTTAATTGTCTGTTGTGAATTTACCTAAGATTTCTCGAGCATTGTGTGAGCATCATGTTGTTGTGATGATCTACTTTAATCCCATTGTTTGCCCAATGATATATTCTAATTATAAAGTAAGTTGATGACAATCGTTATGCGCAGCAGCAAGCATAAGGGTTAATGTCCATGACTTACTCGTTTTTCGGCAAGTAAACAAGATCAACGACAACAACAACAACAACAACACGATGTTGTAAATGTTGCCATTGTTAAATGCCTGTTAAATGTTGCAATGAGACACAAGAAGTTTATATTTACGGAGACGCCAGTGATCGACTAAATGACACCCTGTCGGAAAAAAATTCGTTTAATTTCATAAATTCGCCGCAATTTGGAAAGTCACGGGTAACTGACCTTATTATTCAGAAAGTATATTTCCAAAACGGAAAATTGTGTATGTTAATTCCAAGTTATGTTTTTATAAAATTAAAAAAAAAAATACAAGAATGAACTATTTTAAAGAATGTCAATATATAAGCACATGTTGAGTGTTTAAAAACAGGTTCTCATAACAGTGTTGTTTCTTATTCGAAATTCTTAGATTATTTTTTATTTAATTTTCATTATTATTAAACATTAGGTATTATAAGATTTTATTTATACGATTTACACCGATCCCGAATTCAGTGCCTTTAAGGCAAACTTATTATATAAGCAATTTTCATTACTTTTTACTGAATTTCAGATATATATGTATATATTTTTTTAAATAAGTGTTTGCATTTCTACTTTTCGAAATATTTTCTATAAATTTGGCAAATAGTAGTTCAAAATTATTTCTAAATTTAAGCATAACTTTCTAGCTTTTAGTTGGATTTTCATTTTTAGAAGATTTTCTAAATTTCCGATCCGATCTAAAGTTATTTTCCAACTCTTTTAAAGCTCAACAACATTCCATTTTCTTACATTTTATTTTTCCAAGAGTAGAGTCGGGTTCTAAGTGCTGCTTACCCAACTGCTACATTACTGGCACAGGGTATGGAAAGAATACAGCACTTGAGCAAGCAGCAAGCAGCAAGCAATACAAGCGACACAAAAGCAACAAAAGCGAGTCACAGCAACAGCAACAGCAAGAGCAACTGCAACAACAACAATGTGCAAGAACAGCAACAACAACAGCCACAACACGAATGCAAATTAGTAATGGAGACTGTGGAAAAGTGAGAAACGGCCACAGAAACTGGCACAGACATCAACTGCGAGAGATAAAACGATATTCGTGAGGCTGCCTGGAGCTGTGCCTGGGCGTGCAGATTCAGTTGCCGCCCAATTGGTGGGCAAACGCAATTTGGGTTAATTGCTGCAGTGACGCATTTGGGCTCGTATTCGGATTTGGATTTGGATTCGGATTCGGATCGAGTTCACAGCTGAAGCCGGAGTCGAAGTTGGATGTGGACAGCAGCCAATTAATGTGCGGAAATCGGCAAGGCGTCCCATAAAACACTGTCACTTTTTGCAGCCAAGTCGGATTGGTCGGCTTGGATGGCTGTTGGTTGATGGTGTCTCTCAGCTGCCACTTGCCACTGCTTGCAACACAATTAGCCCGGCCAGCCGGGCGGCATTCTTGTGTGCAAACCTTGACCATGAAACACGCACCATAAATGCTTCTGACAGCCATTTGAAGAATTCAGTTGTAATTAAAGCCATTGAAAAATAGTTAGAAATTGAAATTGGCCAAGCTCATGCCGTGGTCAATGCCACACGACCAATGACAGTTACTCCTTTTGTGCCACGCTCAGCTACGCGCGTAGGCAGTCCAACTGGTTTTCTGCTGCCGCAGATACCGTTCCGATTACACAGGCCTTTGCCTCCAAAATGGAGCTGTCTGTCAATTAGCGCCAGCGCGACACTAAAGTGCACTGAACTTGTTGCCCATGAAGTCTTCACTGTTTACGTCTTGTTAATGTCGACTGACAAGGTGCACCATGGTCACACATAGCTGGCCATTAATATGCATGGAATCTGCCCAAACTACAAACTTAACCCACAATTGCCGTTAACAATTATAAATACACTCGAACTGGACTATTTTTCCAACTTGCCAACTTGTCGGGCTGACTGCTTGTAAGAAAATATGGCCGCTTTATATTTTCGAACGATTATTTTAAAAAATCGCACCACAATTCTGAAACTATATATTATTATATTTTATATATTTTTTTAAATATTTCCACAAAGTAAAAATGTAAATAATTATTTAAAAAAAATCTTTTTTCAAATTAAAAAAAATTATAATAATTATTTGCTATCTCGACTGAATGATAGAGTTTAACTGTTGTCTTATTAAATCATATTCATTTTGCAGATTGCAATCTTTTTTTTTTGGTTTTATTTAAATGGAAAAAAATCAATAAAATGGCTGATATATTTTTGGTTAATATGCAAATCCAAAAAAAAACATAATTGGGTAATTTTCTTATCGATTGGTTTTCCCCACTCAATGCTGCAATGTTCAATACTCTCCGATATCTTATGAATATCAATCTTATCTTTTAATTTGAAATTTTATTGAAATGTACTTGTTCCACTGGGTAGGCTGCCACCCTCTACGAAATACAGCTCCCCTCTCTCTCCTTCGCAGCTGTTTGTTAGTGGGTTAATTGACGAACTCTTTAAATCAACACACAAACACACACACACAAGCATACAGACACACACACACATAAATACATAAATACAATCGCAAACATGCAAATATAATTCGTTTTAGATAACAAAACACAAACATATGGGCAACATTTGCATAGGGGGAGAGCATATGATGATAATATAGCAATTGCTGTTTTGCGGCAAAACAGTTGTTCTTTATTTGTGAAGCTGTAAAGAACTTAATCGGTCGCCGCTGGCAATGGATAATCGGGCAATGTGGATACTGTTCCCAGCGTTATCGCTGTTGATGTTTTCAATAACTGGCTGCTCCGGTCAAACCCAGTTGACAGATGAAATTGCCGTTGAATCGCCCACTTCTGCAGCCCCTGCGCCCAAGCTGCCCAAGCTGACATTGGCCATACACTATGAGGCACTCTGTCCGGATAGCATTTTCTTTGTGCGGCGTCGACTGCACGATGCGCTGCTCGACAACGATTGGTGGCCCCGCACCGAACTAAAGCTTTATCCATTCGGCAAGGCGGCAGTAAGTTTGTACAGGTTCCGTTAAGGCTTTCGAGTGAAATATCTATCATGTGTGCTTTCTGTGATTAGTTCTACAACAACACGGAGATCGGCGAGCTGCAGCTTTTTTGCCAGCATGGCAGAGAAGAGTGCGAGCTGAATGCTCTACACGCCTGTGTTTTGGAGCATCTGGAATTGCGAAAAGCTTTCGATCTGATCTACTGCATGCTGCGCTCCTACACCAATAGCATTGACGCCTGCGCAGCCCGCCTCAGTCTGGATGTGACTGCGGCCAAGGATTGCAAACGGACGCGGAAGACGCCTGAAATTCTGTTGCCTTATGGCCGGGAAACACTGGCACTCGGCCTTTCATTTGTGCCCACAATTGTCTTTGACAATGTAAGCGAAAATAATTAACTAAGAAAACTATTTTAATTTTTATTAATTGTTATCTTTATATTCTGCACAGAACTTCGAGCCCTACGAGCAGAGCAGCATTCGTTATAATTTTGAGGCTCACTTTTGCAGAGAGTACAAGCGAAAGTTTCACATCACATTGCCCACTTGTGGCTGAGAAGTGACTGAAAAAATTACGTCAGTTCTTACCAGCCTGGTTCAAAGCTGGTTCGAGTGATTTTCAAATCACCGCTTAATAATAAAAACACAAAAAAAAACAAACCAAATCAATGGTTTTAACATTTGGCACACATTAATAGTATACGAAATCGCATGTTCTGAAGTATTTATTTCGACATCCTGTAAACAGAGATGTGGAGCAAAGTCTGTTAAGTTGGCGGACTCTGCTAAATTTGAAGTGTTTCGTTGTGTGCGGAGTAAATATGAAAGCTTGCAATTCCTTACTTAACGAAAAAGCCAAGACACACACCTTTGTGTAGACTTAAACTGCAGTATGAACTTAACGAAAAAGCGCTCCCACAACATTGAACATTGTGCATTCTCAAATTTCCCCTGAATATCGTATGTTCTAAAACCCAGTATTTATGCAAGTTAAGACCTGACGGCGCTTAATGGTAAAGCGCTGCAGCAATTAGCTTTGAGTAGCTATGCATAACTATGAGCAAAAGCCCACTGCTGTGTGTTATATTTTCAAAGATCTGGCAGCACATGAAATGAATTTGCGCATGTGGCAACCAATAAGAAATTTAACGGTCAGATTGTAACGGTTTATGTATAACGCTTATCTTAAAGGCTTTTTTCGAATGTGTTTCTCTGTAAAATAATAAAATACATAATAAAAACAAAATAATAATAATAAAATCAACTGTAAAATAAATACACATACAATATTATTATGTAAACAAATAAAGTTTATTCAATACGCATTTTTAGCACTTCAAAAGTAAATAACAAGGGTTGCAAAGTTCCCTTCTAACAAGATAAGTATTGATCGTGCGACGATAAAGGAATAATTTATTAAATATCAAGTTGCAGAACGCCCCTTTTGAATTCCGACACATCAGTATTTTGCAATTTGCGGAACAACACCTCGGGCCAGCCATCCTTTCAACATGCAACATAGACCCAGCTATCCCAGCTATCCACATATCTGGCTATCTGACTATGGCTGGCTATCTGGCTATCTGGCTGCAAAAGGCCAATACATAATAATTTGCCAATCGATTTGTGCGCAAATTCACTTTTCCGATGAATCGTTGGACCAACAAGCTCAGCACTGGAGTGGGCAGGAAAGGGGAAGTGGGAAGACGGGCGGGAGGACAGATGGCTGGAAAGGCGAATTAATGGCGCGGCTACTGCGAACGGACAATGCCACTATGGAAATGTACACATGTATGTGTGTGGTACGCACACTCCTGGTCACTAAAATAGAGATGAAGACAATAACTTGTGCATTTTTTGAATCTCACATTTGAATAGTAATATATCAAATTAGAAATATCTTGCTTAAGATTGCGTATGGTCAAATTGATAAATATCTTTGCTAAAAGTAAAACAGGCCTGTTGATATAAGACATGCACGTCAGCTATAAGATGAAGCAACAAATTAACAATCTCTTAAAAAAAATCAGCGAAAATTGTTATTGGCTAAAACTGATCGTTTTTGAGTCATCAAGAGCGATTTACAGCTAACTTTTGTAGTTGTTTTCAGCTAGTAGAATATCTACTAAATTTCCTTTGGCTAGAATAGCAAAGATGGGGAACCACTTTGCATAGCTTGACAGCATTTTCTGGAAACGCAAGTTACCAAAATGAATTAGAAAAATCAGCTATGCATGTTGCTTGCCACCAAGTTATTGGCTTCACACCTATTTCACTGGCCAGCTGTGTACTGTGTATTGCCTGGTTATGCTCCAGCTGGGTTTTCTAAACAATAACGCCAAGTCGACGATATTACTGCAAGCGTCCACTTTGAGGGAGACTCTCTCACATCGCAGGTCTCACATGGAGAGTCGACGGTTTGAGGCGCGCAATTTGTTGCTGCTGGCTAACGCAATGCCCAATGGGGCAGGTTTCGAGCGTGTGTCAGCAGCAGCCGTAAATGATGTCCACATCGAGACCACCGCCGGGCACAGTTGGTCGGCTGTTCGTCGGCTCGTCGGCTGAGGTCGCCGCGGGGTCATCGCTGGGCGTGTTGGCAGCAAGTGTATGACAGAGTGGCCAGACGGTCGACTGCCTGCTGCGCTTTGATTTCGAGTTATTGCCAGCTATAGCAATCGGCACAGAACAAGAACCAATACAGATGCAGATGCAACAGCAGTCAATGCTGTGTGCAACATGCACTCTGAATCTCAGTTGGCCAAAACAGCTAAAAAAAAAGATAAAAAGAACTTAAATTTGCGCACAGAACAAGTTTAAGTGGCCATCAAATTCGAGTTGTGAGCGAAAAGACGCGTTTTTGCTGCTTGTGTATTGCCCTGAACGACTACGGCAGCAGCGACAGCAGCAACAGCAGCAGCAACAGCAGCAGCAGTGAGCACCACCCACTGGCATTGCCTTGGCCCATCCCCCGGGCTATTTGGCCAGTGTACGCCAAACTCGTTTGCAATGCAACAAAAACAAAAACTGTTGCATTTCTAAAGGTTGAGGCAGCAAAACGGCAAAAACAGCTGAAAATACAGCAACCATTGCAGCAGCAACAGCAGCAACAGCAGCAACAACATCAACAAGAACAGCAGAAGAAAAATAGCAAACAAATTTACTGCCAATTTGCTGCTCATTTCGTTTAGAAGGTGACATGCCCATGCAACATGCGTGGCATCTGTGGCAGCAAGCTCGATGGCAGCGCAGCAGCAGCAACAGCAGCACCGATGGAATCCCGACGAGGACCACAAACAGCAAAAGTGTTGGGAGTTGGTTCTGTGTGCACTTTGAGCGTATGTGTTTCGCATTTTTACACTTAATTGCTCCGTTTTGCAGCGAATTGAACTGGTTGGCGAGGTCGAGGGTGGTGGGTGGTGTATGGTGGGTTGGAGAAGGGGGCAAGTGCAGGCCAGACCAAGCTTCGACCCGGTTACAAAAAGCGCAATTGCAACTGCAACTTTTGGCAGGCACTGGGCACAATATATCCTCACACACACACACACACACACACACTCAATACACATATAAACAGCAACAGACCAACACACACAGAGGGGCTTATAACTGTTTGAGTTCACACACCCATCTACCCATCAACCCATCTACCCACACAGCCACTGTGCTCTTATGAGCTTACCAGGGCTCGATAGTTTTAGAATTTTCGGTTAGTTTTCGATAACGTTTAAAATGGCAAAATAGACCCAGGGAAAAAGCAAAAACGTTGAACAAACAAACTAACTATTTTGCCGCGCGATAATCGACGTCAATTGGGATGCATTGCAGTTGGTGTTCGCTCTGCCTTTTTGCCGAATTGCGCAATTTGCGCCAACTTTTGTGTAACATAATTTTTGGCCAATTTATTGCGTGCCTTATGTGGGCGTTGTAATCTCGTTCTCCGTTCTCCGTTCTCGGTTCCTCTCTCTCTCTTTCGCTCATCATCGTAATCATCATCATTATGGCTATAGTCATCATCGTCATCAGCATTTGGGCATTGAGGAAACGACTTGGGAGCCACATTTCCCACATTCAAATTTATGCGCTAAAACTTCCGCTCATTTGAAGTATAAAAATGGCATGCGATTTGATTTGGCACTAAAGAGTGCAAAAAAAAAAATCGTTTTTGGGTTATTCATTTAAATTATAAATGCATTCGGAATGTTTAATTTTTGAATGGTGTGGCCAACAGCAGCAGCATGGACTGGCACACACTCTGTTCCACACACACACACACACACACACACACACATAGCTTGACGGCCACATTTACACAGGCAGCACATTCGATTCGCATTAATCTTCATTTGTTTCAGAATAGACTGGCTCTGCTGCTGCTGTTCTGGTGGTGGTGGTGCTGCTGCTGCTGCTTTGGCTCCAGCTGCAAAAGGACAAATACAAATCTAAAGCACAAATGTCTGCGGCATCGATGGACGACGACTACATCGACGACGACGACGACGTGGCAAGAAAACGCAACGAACAGAAAAGCCATAGGTCATAAATTAGATTTTCCATTAAGCATATAAAAGCACCTTTTGGTTATCCTCAAATGCGTTTGCTCGTCCCAACCAACCATGCCACCGTCGCGTTCTTGCCCCTGATAAAAGGCAAAATCCAACAGTGCAAAATCGAAGAAAAGCATTGAATAAACGAATGAGCCGACGAACGAGGAACGAGGAACGATGAAGGGCTAAGGATGAAGGGCAAGTGGCAAGACGAGGTGAGTTGAGTTGAGGTGAGGCAAGTCGAGTCGAGTCGACAGAAAGGAAGGCAGGCGGCAATCCAAGAATGCTGGCGAAGTGTTCAACAGAAGCAGCAGGAGTGGCTCCTCAGAGTATCCTGTGCACAATGACAACGGCAACGGCAACGGCAGCCATATTGAATGGATTTGCACAAACGTGCAGAAAACTTTTGCTAACACAAAAGATGCAAAAAGGTGCAAGACGCAGCGGGACAGATGCAGCCTGTTACCCAACTCGGCCAAATTCTATTTAGTTCAACGTTTTCCCTACAAACTATTACAGCATAGTAATAAATATATATATATCAATATATAGATAGATAGATATATATATATATATATATATATATATTGGTGTATATTTATAAGTTGCCAACAAATACTAATGCATATAAATGAATGGTTTGCGCATAAAAGTATTAGAGTGCTTCAGTTGCTGGTTTTTACTCAAGAATTATTGGTGCGAATTGCTTTAATCAGCGGTCGAATGAGGCGAAAACGTTGGTATTGAAATCCCGTAAATGTAATGAGCCTTTTTGGCAGCCCATAAAAAGTCATATAAACATTTCAATTAACGTGGTGCACACGTAGCCGAAACTGGCTCAATTCGCTTCGAAACGACTGCCACCGTTCCCCGGTCAGTTTCACGACCTCCACCTCCACCTCCACCTTCCTTTGCCACTGCCACCTGACAGGCATCGAGGACGAATGAGCCGCAGCATTTGATAAATTGAAGCAACAGAGTCAAGACGACAAATGTAGAGGGTTCCAGCCTGTAGCTGTATTGCTGGTCGATTCGTTTCAATTCATGCCATTGACTGGCTAATTTAGTGAGGAAATGGACACAGCCACTAGGGCCACATAGGGCAAT